CACTAGGCAGTTTTTCCAGAAGTTTGAGCACCGCAGCTCAACCCTATCTGCCAATGAAAGTACAAGTGGAGGTGACCCCACAGGCACAGAGATGTAAATACCCTACAAGAAAGGAGGCCCCACTCCCATGGAAAGTTTTTCTTAATATTTAATAGAGAGCAAGGGGAAAGCTCACACCAGGGCCCACAGAACATTGGACCAACAAGGAGCAGCCGTGACCAGCCAGCTCAAGTAGGCGTGACGTAAACCTCCCTAAGCTTTCCTGATATAATCGAGTTGGTTCACAGAGAAAGGTGGATATGAAATCACCCCTAGGCCTCTTCTCCATCACTTCTTTTTATTCTGTTCTGACAAACCTCTATAGACCATTTCATCTGAGGAAATAATAATTTAAAGGGTAATGCCAACATAGAAGTAGCAGCAAAAAAAAAAAAAAAAATCATCTCAGGGGACCTCCTGCAGTCTAAGCCTACAGTCTAAGTGGTGTTCACACCACTGAATTCTCATGGCAACCCCACAAGCTAGACACTGATATCCATCCTACTTTCCACGTGAGAAAACAGGGCTAGAGAGGTGAGGTAACTGTCCACCTTCACCACCCTTTAGGTGTGAAACCAGGCCTCTTGAATTACTAAACCCCTTCCCCCAAATGACAGGATGCCAAACAAAAGTCGCCTCTATCTCTGAAAGGTTCTCCAAATTCCAAGACAGGTTTGTGCTACCAGCTCCTTCTGTGGGCCACCCTGTGGTTGCCTGGAATGGAACTCAGGACCTGTAGGAAACTCCAGCCTTTAAAATTCCATCCTGACTCCTCCCACAAGGAACCCTGAGCTGGCTGGGTGGAGAGGACTCTCTGAAAGCTCTCAGGGGTGATCAGCCAGCAGGAGGAGACTGCTGAGGTGGACATTAAACTGATTTCACATCCCAGTTCCTCCTCAGAGCCTGTGTGGCCTCAGGTTTGCTCCGCTCCTCTGAGCCTAGAAAACTGTGAAGGTGTAACTGTCTCAGAGCTGGCTGGCATCTGTGAATTTGCCAGCACGACTGTTTAAGTACCCTTTCCTCAAAAATGGCTCTATTGAAAGGCACTCAGCCAACATTACAAAAAAAAAAAAAAAAAAAAAAAAAAAAAAAAAAAAAAAAAACCAGCAAAAATAAATACAAATAAATAGATTGGATCACTTCTGAAATGACAAGTTATACTGTTTTAGAATGGACACATATCTACATATACACATTGCAAGCCAAATGTCCTCGACTCCACAGGCTACTTCACATCCCTGTGCACTGGCTCGAACATGATCCAAATCCTGTAGCAGCTAAGGGCCTGATAGAGCTCTGATGGCCTCTGCCATACTCCAGGACCTTAGCCTGTGAACCATGGAAAAGATAAGGATTTTGTGGAGCTGAAAACCCAGAGAGAGAAGCAGCTGAGACTCAGAGATGCTGGAGCCGCTCCTTGGACGATAGAGGATTTTTGTGATTACGAAAGTAGAAGACAAGCAGACAAGGTCGGCTCTGTTAAGCTGTTCAGTCAGCTCCAAGATAGGTGGGGCCCGCTTCTTGTAAGAGGGAATTCGAATGGCTTTTTATGAGCGAGGGCCCATTTCTGCATTGCACCTCTGGATTTAAAAGAGGAAATTTCAACCTCAGGAATAATGTTTTTTGCTGAACAAAATGTACGCCAAGCTAAGCTCTGACTTCTGGTTTTCAGTGTCCCAGACTCCAAAGTTATCTCAGGTTTCTAGTCCTGGGCGGAACTCACTGGCTCCCACCACTTCCTCAGCTGCAGTGAGGTGGGAAAAGACCCAGAAGACACCCCTCCTCCCGCGCTTGGAGGGTTTGGAGGTGGCCATGGGGCAGAGAACTGCACCAGGGTCATGTATCTGAGTGTGACTGGCCCCTACAGAAGGACTTTGGGACAGACACCCACGTGTGTTCCTGGACTAACTCTAGAAGCGGGGACTGCGGGGAGGCGGGGTGTGAAACGAAATAGTATGAGGTTCCTCGGTCCCATTAAAGACTGTAAGGTGAGGAAACCCTGCTAGAAGAGCACACCGCCTACCTGGATCCCCAGGGCCCAGGACAGGGTGCTACTCCTCATCTCTGCCCTGGAATTCAGGAACTGAAGACTCAGTGCCCACCCATTTATAAAAAAGATTCTGCTGCCACATAGCAAACAGATTATTCCTGGACCACTACATGTTGTGGCAAGATGCTCTGGCCTCTGCAACTGATAAATAAGGGCGAAACTGTCTTCTATCTCTGAACTTCTACAAACCTTAGAAGTTAAATCAGGCTGAATGGGTTCTCTGGGATTTTTCAGGTTTTTCTGACACTGCGATTACACTTAGGACTCTGTACCACTGACTTCCTCCAACTGTGACTTCTTTCATGTTTTTTAAGCATACATTGAAGTTTAGCTCTTTCTTTTCATACTTGTTATGAAACAAGATACAAGCTTGCACCCAACCCTAATTACTTTATTCCAAAAAAGCTGGACCAACCCAAACTAAATATTCTTATGTCCCTAATCCAAAATTGAGTTAAACTATCACATATCTTCCAATATTCCTAAGTAAACCTCACCCAGGACCAAAACTCCCTGCAGGTCAGCTGAAATCTTAAAGAGATTTTTTCCCCCTTTTGTGCAGTGTGACTAACAACTGTTAACTAACTAACTGAACTCTGGCTGGCTCAAAGGAACAAAACAAAATCATACAAGGAAGGCCTGAAGGTAAGGACATTTCAACAGGCCTTCTCCTTTCTCCATCTTCTCATTTGGTAGCCCATTTTTCCTAGTTACGAGTGTATGCTTCAGAGACAGACAGCCATGACCCTGAGCATCAGCTCAGTAACTTTGAAAAATATAATACCAAATACTGTGCAGATAGAGCGTGGCCTCCACAGGCTACTTAATTTCGTAAAGCTCAGCTTCCTCATCTCCAAGAAGAGCAGGAAAGTCTCAAAGGACTTTTTACGGGGATCAAGTTAAATAATGCAAGTCTCAAAAACCGCCTGGACAAATAAATAAGATTTTGGAAATGTTTGCTTGTGAATACTATCCATTTACTAACTATAGCTCCTTTCTAACCAAAGTACAAAAATCCCAAGCAGCCTCCTGACCCATCCAGCAAGAAATCCATGGGTGTAGCAGATCCATAGAAACATACAATAGTGGATACAAAGAGAAATGCTTACCACCTACTCTTCCTCAGTTTGACTAAGCCGTCACAGATGTGTGAGAGGCAATGACACTGAGAACTTGGGCTCATCCTTCTACATCCCTGCCAAGGCCATGGCCAGATATCACTGCTGTAGCTAAGGAAGGAGTTTGAGGAAATAATGGGTGAGAGCTACTGCTAGCTTCCCAAGAAAAGATGGAGGCTTGTCCTCTACAGAGGCCTCTAAATGTTCTTTCTGTCCTTAGGAACTTAGCTGATATTTTTACAAAGCATAGAACAAATAACTCTGATATCAATTTTCCTATTACTAAGTCTCCACATGGAAAGAAAGGAGCTATCCATTGTGGAGATAAGGATACTAGTAAAGGAAAATGCCTTGTGGGGAATGTTTAATAATATTACTTGGTAGTAGTTTGCAAAATCAAAATGCATGTTTAAACTTCACAAATAGTAATTCACCAAAGACAGAAGTAATACGTTCACACATAGAGCTCTCAGCATATTGAAATATTACTTAGGATAATCCCTGCTAAAATGTTGAGAATAAAGTAAAATCATTTATTCACATTATACAAATAAGTGAAAGTGAGAGACTATGTGAACCTATAACTAAGCCAAACTTTAAACTCAGAACTTGTTTTCAGCGAGTTCTTTAGTGAAGATACAGCGGCTCATCCACACACAAAAAAAGCACCTTTCATTAGGCTGCAAAGCTCATCCTCTCCACCAATGAATACCATGTTTACTTGTTTCTATTGACTCCTTTACTCCAGAGCCTGATAATCATGTGATGCAAGCACAAACTCATTTATCATTTCTTAACATTGACCTCATCTCTTGTCACAAAGGAGTCTGAGTCCTTTTAGACATAGATAGCACAGCTTTTGTCTGAGCAGAGTTAGATACTCTGTAGTTCCATACTGCTGATTGGGACAACAAGCTATCATCTGAACATCACTGTAGGAATCTGCTCTTCAATGCCTTAAGGTACTTCCAACAGGATTTCATGATGGGTAATTTTAACTATGTTTTGCCAGAAGTAAATGTCATATAAAACACTCTTCAGCAAAAATGTTGCTCTTTGTAGATCTGTATGTCTCTCAAATAGTCTTCTTAGTACAGTTTAATCTCCTTCAACTGGCTATTTATCAGAATTATTAGTAGTTTAGGCTAAAATATCTCAAAACAAATGATCTGTTTGAATCTACTAGCTACTGCCAGGACTCATTGAGCATTTGACAGCGAAGTGTCACTCTCAATTAAGAATAGGTTCTTCTTCCTGACCTGTGCTTCCAAATCAGAAAAGCAGCCTGTATTACAGAGAGTAAGCCAGCAGGCAAAGAAATTTGAGACATCCACCCAAGATTACGTCTGGTCCTACATTTGTCCTTTGTGGCAGTCACCTCTTTCCATCCTCATATATCTTATCCTTGACCACTGCATCTAAATGCTATCTCAGCATTTCCCTGCTGAGCTCACTGGATAAAACCAGTGCAGAAAGTTGAATGGTAGTGATATCTTTAACTTCATTGTAGTAGCAGGCATTCCAAACTGTAGCTTTCCCGAAACAATGTTGTACAAAGTCCATCTTGACTTTTACTTGTACAACAATGATGTCAAAGATAAGAATCCTCAGCCTAATGAGACAGAAATTACCAAAATCCATAAAACTAGGAAATTCAACCAGATTCAATGCATATGCTATGTGCATTTTGGTAACGGTCAAAACCAATTTTAAGACAGTTATTCTCTCATGTTTAACAGATATACTTGCCCAAGACAGCAGTTAGGTCCCCTTTACCTGACCTGCACACTTACCAAGCACACACACACAATGCAAGGGTTGTCTGTGATAAATGGAATTTGGAGGACTTCCCCTTCATTTTCACATTTTGCAACAGACCCTGAAATGAAAATGGAAATACTTTAAATTTAAATAATGTTGCTTAATGGAATTATTGTAAAATCTTACCTTTTAATGCTAGTAATCTGCAATATTTTGCTTTACGTTATCAAGCTCACCACAAACACGTCTCTCCAAATCTATTTTAAATAGTTTGGCTTAACACGTTTTTATTTTTGTTTTCTTTAAGTCACAACAGTATGTAGATAGGTTCTCTGTTTTTGGTTGGTTTAAGCACATATTTAATAACATGAGTGCTCTGGAAGACATTTGAGCTACAGGCAGACTCACACACCAAACTGATCATCAGGGAAGATTTTAAATGTGAACGAAATTCAGGACTGTTTCAAAGAACGGGCCTTTCAGGTGGATCTGCCTAATGTTATGGGTTGGAATCACTTTTTGAAATGCAGTCTCTTTTTCTCTTAGAAATATTCTGTTTTCTGCACCAGGTGTCAGTAAAGCGTGTCCTTCAAAATAGCAGGAGAGGTCTTCACCTGCCTGAAAACACGTAATTATTATATCCTGCTATTAGTAACCTTTAAAAATAAGATCGTTTCTTTAAATTCAAGGTCTAGAAAGCCATGCTTTTAAAACGCTGCCTAGCACAGTGGATTTATTGGAATCCTATGGAATGAGACAAGAGGATGTGCGGGAAACGGCGCTGTCTTTTCCTTAATTGCATAGGAGGGGTTAGGATTGCAGCGAGGATTGAGAAAAGATTCAACGTAAGTAAATCAAGGATTTTCCCAACTTCAAATAGCAGAGTGCCTACCATCACTCCGTCGAAGATAACAGTCACTCAGCCCCCCATCTCTTTACCTCAACACTCTTCCCACCCCTTTTCTCCAGGCTTCTCCGCATCCCCATCTCCAGCAAGGGAGGGGCAAGGTGGGTGCTCCCCACCCTCCCA